GAACAGTAGCTTACAACAATAAACATTTATTAATTATCTCATAGTTTCTGTGGATTGGAAATTTGGGAGCAGCTTATCTGGGTGGTTCTGGCTCTGGTTCTATCATAAGGTTGCTGTCAAAATGTTGGCCAGAGTTACCATATGATCCAGCAATCCCACTCCTTGTTGTATATCTGGAAAAGGCAAAAATCCTAATACAAAAAGATACATGCACCCCAATGTTCTTAGTAGTACTGTTTGCAATAGCATAGACATGGAAGCGATCTAAGTGTCCATCACATATGAATGGATGAAGAAGACCTATATATATATACATATACACACATCTATATATACAATGAAATACTACTTAGCTATAAAAAAGAATGAAATATTGCCATTTGCAGCAACATGGATGGACCTAGAGATTATCATATTGAGTGAAGTAAGTCAGACAGAGAAAGACAAATATTATATGGTATTATTTATATGTGGAATCTAAAAAATAACACAAATGAACTTATCTATAAACAGAAACAGACACACAGACATAGAAAACAAAATTATGGTTACCAAAGGGGAAAGAAGGGGAGGGATAAATTAGGAGTAGGGGATTAACGAATACACACTACTATATATAAAATAGATAAACAACAAGGATTTACTGAATAACACAAGGAAATACATTCAATGTCTTGATATATATAGATATAATCAAATCATTTTGCTGTACACCTGAAACTAACACAATTATTGTAAGTCAACTTACAGAGAAGAGAAACAAAGAAAAGGTCATTAGGTTTGTACTATAGATTTGATTTGATTTCATTTGTATATTAGGCATACACTGGAAGAAGAGAATAAAAAAGAACAGAATCCTTTATGACAGCAACAGGGAATTCATAGAGCGAGTAGCAGAAAGTAAGTTAGGGGCCAGACTGTGTAGAGTTTAATTTATGAAAAGGCTGACTGTGAATAACAAAACTGGATTTTTTTCTGTAGACAATTCAAAGCTACAGATGGCTTTTTATCAGGAAAGTGACAATAAGTAAGTGGAATTTTGGCAGAATTTATGTAGTAAAAAAACCAGAATGAATTTAAAGAGGAAGGAAACTCAACATATCACATATTATCTATTAGTTTACTGAAATAAGACACATCTCTCTAACATGTAATTGCAAGGAGAATGAGAAAAGAGAATTTCAGGAGGTATTCATACCTATGGATGACATTTAATACTAATTTGGATTGCTATATATGCATAAAGGGATATAGTCCATAAAATAATAATTTCCATCTACTGACATAAATTTAAATTCTGTACCCTTTTTTAAAAAATTTAAAGAACCTCCTTTTTTTTTTTACTGTAAGTTTAAAAATATTCCTCCTTTTGTGATAGCCTGGTTATATTTCTGTAGTAACTAAGATAGTAATAATACCTGTCATGTTTACCACTATTAAGGAAATGTGTTCATATCACATTTACTTAAATAAGGTGAATGAACTTGATGCACTGCCTCCTACAATGCTTCCTTCTTATCCTCACCAAAAAGGGTAAAGTCCCCCAAAGACAAGCTGATGTAACTCCCTTTTAACACACATAAACTCCCGTATGCTGCTCGACCACAGTGAGGAATCACCGCCTAGTCCACAGACAAGACAGAGGCCACAGACTGCTTTTTCTCAGGCCAAGGATTTTTGCTTTGCTAACACTATGGCCAGAAATTCTTTTTATAGGTTCAAGGCAGGTAATGCAAAAAGAGAATACAAGTTTTTGAAGATTACTACTTCTAAAAGTAGCCGACCAGCCTCCTCTATCTCTGAGTGAAGCAGGGACAATTAGCACATAGGAGGGATGTGAAAATTTGGGGTTCTTCTCACAACTAAGAATTAGGATGGAAATTAAGAATCAGGATGGAAAAAGTATTGATGCATGCAATATATTTCAATCTTGAACCCAAAATGCAAATTATGGTAAATTTTCTATGCCAAGAGACTAATTTGGGGGACAAGAGAAAGAGTCATTTTTACCCAATGAGTTATCAGGTCTGTCCATGAACACATGTGAAACTGGATTTCAGGTTTCAGTCCCTGAATAAGCTTGTTGAACTGTATCTCCTTAAATTGCCTTTGATCACACCAACCACGTTAGTCAGCTGTTGTGCAGACTGATATCCTTTGGTAACCAAGGAGGTCTAGATAAGAGATTAGCTTGGGTCACACAAACATTTCTGGAATAAAAAGGTAAACTGAAAGATAGTATTGTGTAGGGTGGGTTGGATCATAGTAACAGCGATAATACTCACGGCTGAACTTTCTCAAGGGTTTACCATGTTCCAGAAGCTTTGTGACGGCCTCATGGATTCTTTAATTGACTCCTTACAGCAGTTTTATAAGCTTTGCACTGAGAAAATTGACAGAAACTTGATTCTTACCCAAAACTATAATAATTCTAAGGAGAAAGGGAAGAGGGCCATATAAATATAACAGTAAATGACACACTAACAAATAAATACCTATTTCAGTGCTTTGAAGAGGACCTACAAGTTAGATCTCACTCTGGGAAGGTTGATTAATATATGCCAAGAAAAAGTTCCTAATGAACTGACAAGGACAGTTCATTAACAAACCTTAAGAAATCGAATCTAGAGAACAATTATGATACCAAAATTCAGTTTTATTATGAATAAAAACCAAAATGTACCCTTTAATTTTTTCTCTTTCACCTCTTATTTCATCCAAATAATAAATTCAAAGCAAATCACAATAAAACTTAACTACTGGTAAATTTCAGACGTAAAGGAGCAGGTCTTAGTGTGAGTGTCAGCAGCCATGGTATAGCAGTTGAAAGATACCAGTTTAGACTCACAAAATTATGTGCAGTCCTTGTTGGATCTTATAAGTTTTTACTTTTCTTCTACCTTTGGTTAGACTAACATGTAAATGGTTAGACAAAGGAACTCTAACCCTTATTAGCTTATTGGAACAAAGGAATATAATAAAAATATAGCATACTTTTCACTGATGTTTTACTTAAAATCTTTCCTAGGATTCCTCTTCTGCACTATTTACTTTTTGTCTTTGGACCCCTTTAGAGCTGTATCCTTTTTCTGTTCTGTATGCCTAAATAATCAGGGATTCATGGATATTATTAATCAAGTCCTGAAAAAAATTATATAACTTTGTCTTCTACCCATGGAAGTGCTCTATTCCTTAGTAAATTACCTCTTTTTGAGTTTACACAGTGGGTTAATGGTCACTAATCTTTCACTCACTCATATCAGTGGGTCCCATTTTTAGAGACCCAAATTACAGACTAACTAATGGTCTATAACTATTTTTTTTTTGGTGATAAATAGACCTGTGTGATTTTTTTATTGAAATTAATGGACACAAGTGAAGATCTGTATATACAGTCCAATGAGTATTCTCAAATATGCATGAATGGATAATTACATCTTCTGTACCAAGAGAAGTATATTTTCACTACTCCAAAATAAAAAAATCACTTTCTAGTCAATGTCTTCACTCCCAGAAGTAACCCCAGCTCTGTTATTCGACACCCTTGGTTAGTTTTGCCCTGTCTTGAAATTTGGAATCATATGGTTTACATTGTTTTTTTCTCTTACCACTTTGGACTTCATATAATGTTTTAAACTTCATCTTCTCTTTTGCCTGTAAGCCATTTTTATTTTCATTTTAAGTATTGAAAGCACTCCAGTATATAACAAACATTACAATTTCGTTCTCCATTCTCCGATTGAAAGGCATTCGGCTGCTTATAGTTTGGTGCCGTCAAGAAAAAAGTTTACCAATTCCATAAAAAGTCAACTTCTTAAAATATTCTTAGTTTGAAATCATTAGAGACTTATAACAAGCTGTAAAACTGATACACAATCACTTGTATCTTAGCCAACTTACCCAATGATAACATCTTATAACTATCATACAGTGGCAATACTAGGACTTGGAGATTGATACAATACTCTTAACCAGACTACAGACCTTATTCAAATTTCACCACTTTTTACATTACGTGCACTCTATCTGTGTGGGGAGTGGAGGTGGAGAAGAATCAACTCAGACTTTTGTGAATCAATGGCTTAGTTTTCTATTTCAATGATTTAATATTTATTTTATCATTTCTTCCTTCTTATAAGGAGGAAGATAAAACTATTTCTTTATTGTATTTCCAACCACGGTATCAATCTAGTGGCCATGATTTTCTGAACCAAAAACTGGGACTTTTGATCTAGCAGGAGACATTTATTTTTTCTGAATTGGCAAGTTATCTAAGGTGAAAAAATTGGTACAAACACATGAAAATAAAATCATATTTCAATATATATATTGGAATCGTTTTCGGTTTCAGGAATAAAATTATAAATTATCAGTGTCCTGGAAAACCCAGGTTACATGGGGAAAATAATATCCCAACTAAAACTTTTTTTTTCTTTTTTACTATATAGTTATCTGGATAACTAAGGTTTCTCTTTTTGAATTGAATTTAATTTAGACATTTTATGCAATAGTGTTTTCAGTAATTTTGCAGTGACTACAAAGGAAATAGTGTTAATAGCATTATTCTATATCGGCCAGGTATTTATTTCATTCACCTTTTTTTCCAGAATAGTTTATCATAAACTATAAAGAATGCCATTAGCAAAAAATGAGGTGCAAGGACAGTTTGGGAAAATGCAACAGAATGTTTTGATCACCTGTTTTTCTATTGTGTTTTAGGTTTTGAACCTCTTCCTGGCCTTACTCTTGAGTTCATTCAGTTCTGACAATCTTGCTGCCACTGATGATGATAATGAAATGAACAACCTCCAGATTGCTGTGGGAAGGATGCAGAAAGGAATCGATTATGTTAAAAGAAAAATACGTGAATTTATTCAGAAAGCTTTTGTTAGAAAGCAAAAAGCTTTAGATGAAATTAAACCTCTTGAAGACCTAAATAACAAAAAAGACAGCTGTATTTCCAACCATACCACCATAGAAATAGGCAAAGACCTCAATTATCTCAAAGATGGAAATGGAACCACAAGTGGCATAGGCAGCAGCGTAGAAAAATATGTCGTGGATGAAAGTGATTACATGTCATTTATAAACAACCCCAGCCTCACTGTGACTGTACCAATTGCTGTTGGAGAATCTGACTTTGAAAATTTAAATACTGAAGAATTCAGCAGCGAGTCAGATATGGAGGAAAGCAAAGAGGTAGGAATTTCTGCATAAGGAGATATTTTGGCATTATGTATCCTTTAAACTATCAGACTTTTAAAAATTATATTTTCTTTCTACAAGAAAATAGGAAATATCTATTTATACAGTATCTATGGAAAAATTAGTGATAGATAAATTGACAGTAGATTAAAATATAGCTAAACAAATGATAATGTTGACTTAATTTTTTCAAATATTCACCACTTTGAATTAGTGATACATATATTCAGTTTAATATGAATTTTTAAGGATTTTTGAATAATTTTTAATTTTTGAAAATGCCTTAGTTTATCCACTTTCTTCCTTATAATTCTTCCACAATGGTGTTTTTTTTTTTTTCTATGTATAGGAAAAATACTTGGTGAGAAGGCAGTTCCAATGCTCATTTTGCTACATTCTTGGCTCTTACGGAATACTTTATAAAATGTGATCCTATTTAGTTTTCACAGATATATTTATTCATGGAAAATATGATTGAGATCTTGGCTTGGTATTTACATATAGTGTCATGTTTTCTTAAGTAAATAATTTTTTAAAGGAAGTGAATGTAGTCATGAGGAATCAGGCTGAAAATATTTTTAACCCTACTGAGCCCAGTGCATGCTGTCTAAACAAACAAAAAGCCTTGATACATTATAGAATGTAAAATTCTGAAGTGTCCAACTACAGTACGAGTCTTGGTAGTTTAAAGAATTCTCTGATTTACTAGAGTATAAATACCAGGATATGTTTTTGGTTTGTTTGTAGGTTAATAAGCAGAGTTGGGGGTAAAGAGAAGAATTTAACCCCTAATGTTTGTTTAACTACACAAAAATGAAGACAGAATTCCCAGCAATTAAAGCTTATATAAACCAATAAAAATAACAACCAAAAACAAATTCTTGTCATTTTGACTGACAGGGAACAGAAAGGGCCACTATTTCTATTGTCATCCTAAGAAAGATTATTTGGGGAGTTAGAGACACTGAAGGATACAATTTAAGTAGTGTAACAAAGTCACAAAAAGTAGGGATCAGTTAATAAAATTATGAGCAAAAATGTATGAGAAAGGAACCTTAGATATTTCAGTCAGTATTCCTATATTTATTCCACAAAATTACTGAAGAATATGCTATTTCCATTCATTCTTGTTTGTAAGATAGGTGGTGTTGCTAATTCAGTGATTAGGTAGAAGTAGATGTTAAACATGAAATTCAAAGAAAGTTTAAATATAGGTACTAAAATGAACATATAGATAGCAAGGCCATAGCTACTAGTTTTACAAAATAACAGTTGAAATTCAAGGGTAAAATTATAAAACTTTATAGACTAGGGCAAAGAATTGCTGTAATTAGTTGAACTCAAATGTTTACTAATAAGATTATTATTTAAAACTGAATAATATCTTAAGATCTAGTTAATAAAATTTTAGATAAGCATACTTGATTGCGCTATGTTGAAAGAGTGGGGCCTAATTTCTGTTATTGTTTATTGCCAGAAACTGAAGTCAGCATTTAGAAAACAGAATTGGGCCATTAAAGTTTAATATATATCCCCTCTCATTATTTTGACATTATACCTAATAGTAAATATTTCCCTTACAGTAAGGGAAGTCAATTTTTATTTTACACATGTTTAATTTTAGGGTGTCATATAAACTAAGAAGGAATTATGAAGAATCAAATGTTGAAGGTATCAGTCAATTTAAACTTTCAGCTGAGTTTGAGTATCTTTTGAGGCATGGTTAACTTGACATCAATCTTCTTAATTTTCAGAAATTTTAAACTCTCAGTCTTCTCTAAAAGAGCATGTATTTTGCCTCATCTCAACCCATTATGTTTGACATTAGAGAAATGTCAAGTAAGGCAGGGTTTATAGTAAGAAAAATCCAAATTCTCTTCTCAGTTTCTCTGCTTAACATTAAGATTTTTCGTTTTCTGTTTAAGTACTCCAAAATAATATATGTGAAGTCAGTACTTTGGAATTTGGGGCAGAGAACTGATCTGGCAATTGAAAGTCGAAAATTATTTTATTCCTTTATCTGTGGAGTCCTTTCAATACTTTCCCATCATAGATATTGTTACCCGTGTGTTAAAATTTATTATTTGGTGAAATTTTCAATTATGGCTTTTTCAAACTTCCTAAATAAAACTCAAAAACTAATAAAGGACTAGAGCAATAGTCTAGGAAGGGAATATGTGCAGGTTTTAATCTTTTGGTATCTTACCTGGTAGCTCTACGCTAGAAAACAAAAGAGAATTGAAACAATTATCCAAGAATTCCAAATATTTCCACCTGGCATATCTATTTAGTGTTCTGTCTTCAAGTTAGTTTTGTCTAGTCATTTTCTTAACTGGTAGGATTGGATTGTGCTATTAATATCAGATGTAAAGTATTAAGAAATGGTATGAAGCTTGCTGATACTCTTTTTTAAATGATTTGAAAAATTAAAGGAAAAAGTGGAGCACTTTTTATTTTTTCAAATTCCTAAATGAATTCCTTTTTATAGGACAGACTAACCAAGTGGAACCAGAGTTTGTTTAAAAGTTTGAACTAAATCCTCTTCTATTTTGCCAAATTTGCATGATTATTTGATAGCTTTCTCTAGATTCTCTAGAGTATATCATTTTAAATTGATGTTGTAATTATATGTTTTAACTCATGTTATTTTGACTATACATAATTTAATTCATATTTTGTGATTTTGAATGATTGATTTTTTTATAGAACTTTAATAATTTTGAAGCCATGCTTGAATGATTATTTTTCGAAGTGAAATTTACTAGTGCAATATGGTAACCTTCACTGCTTACCGTTCTTACTTCTCACAGGGGTAAAATCAAGCTGGAGCCATCGAGAATGCAGCTCTGGTGTTTTTTAACCAGCCAGAGGCTCGTGCCACCACTTTTACCCAGGTTACCTAAGCAAGTTGTACATATATAAATATAATTAGTTTCTAAATGAATTTTGACTGGCCTGCATGTTACTCAGCTACATTCCTTGCCCATCCATTGGCAGTAAAATAAAAACATGCACAGCTGCTCTTACGCTGAGTCATAAAGCATGGTCAGGCAAGTCTGGCAACCCTAACTTTTCTAAAACATGAGTTAGCTGCTAATTTTCTTACATAGATTTTTTTATAGAAATTATATTCAGTGAAAAGCAAAGTGCATGCCTTTATGGATTATTTAATTTCCATTTAACAATTACAGAGTTTTGAACATGCTAAGGGCCTAAAGGAGAAATACAGGGTGCTCTTTGAAAATCTCTTGCAGAAAGCTTTCTCTCCAATGCCCTTTTCTTAAACAAATAAAGCCCCAATGAGTGTACTCTGTTGGTAATTTTTTGTTCAGTATCCTATTAAATTTTCTGAAGGGTAATCTGCAAATTAAAGCAATCCCATATTCATGTGCAAACTTCCTAAAGGCTGTTTTAATATGATAATAATGTAAATGAATTGGAATGTTATATTTTGGCTGCTAGCAGCATGGGTACAATTTTTATCTGCTTCATTTCAGAGAAAATGGCATCACTCTGTTTAGCACTTGACCAAAAGTACTTTGCATTTAGAATACAATTCCCTTGGAGATTTTGTTGCTATTTACCCCTGTAACTCCTGAGACTGAAAGAAAAGGGAATAAATGTCTTTTTTATCCAAAAGAAAGAAAAAATAGGAAAAACAGTGTTATAGGTGGTATGTTTATTCTGAAAAAAGATCTGGAATCCATTTTCTTCTTCGTGTTGCTCCTCTGTCCTTTGTGTTTTTATTGCTCCTTTATTTCATGCAGACCTGCTGGGAAACTTTTTATTGAATATTATTTAAATATATTATGCATTGCAAACTCATATAGGAAGGGAATCAATGTGAGCTCTTGCTCCTTTCATGTGTATTAAATGAAGGGGACCCCCACACACACACACCAGTCATGCAACTAAGACAGTGAGTGTAACACCTTTCTATGGGCTCTGTTTGGAGGACCTTGCATTTCCTGATGTTGAAATTACATTTTTTGTGCTAAAATATGTTAACTGAATTGTTCAAACCAATTTAATTTTTTTCAAGGAATGTTACTTAAATCCTTTGTCACATAGATGCAGTTTCCTCTTCTTCTGCCATTAAACTATAAAACAACCCTAACATAAGCATATCTGGCTCTTTGAAAAGAGCAATGATCATGCCATTTTTAGAGCTTTTTTTTTTAATACTTTGGAACAAAATATTCAGTCACTGGCACTCTAGATTCATGAAAGATAATGCTTTGTATATAGGAGGAATGTTGTCATATAAAATGAGACCAAAGATGTAAAATTGCTCACAACTAAACACAGATACACATATATACAGGGACGTGAGAGAATTTTTTTCCCCTAGTTTGTATTCTTCAGAAAAGCATGAGACTTGACTCCTTAGGATAATGGCTTGTTTTTCCCAATTTCTTAAAAAGAGGTAAGGTTAGTTTCCTTATTCTCTGAGTATCATTTTCCAAGTTCCTATGTAGAGCAGTATATGAAGCAAAATGACAGTCATGTGTATCATCTACCAGTATTTAGGAAATGTAGCTAGAATATGTGTGGTGGAACACAAACTAAGTAGGAACTGATTTAAATTAAATGGTAACTTCACTTTTCTCACCTTCACATTATTGCAATTTACAATCTCCTTGACCATGTCTCTGATCAGAAAACATTGTTCCCTGAAAGAGTAGTATACTGAAATCCAATACAAGCGGTAGGAAAGGAAAGAAAGATATGTAAGAAAGGTTTGGGTAAGCAAGGGTGAAGTGGGTTCAATGGAAACCCATCTATGATTTTATCTTGAAGAATGTATAGTTCTCAAGGGAAAGTTTTCCAGTGAGAGAGTGATTAAGGGAAAAGAAAGCTCTAAATATCCTTACTACAGGAACAAAATTGGCCAAACGTGTGTGTCTTTGGGGCACTGGTAATCTGCTGAGAGATTGGCCAACACAACATATTTTTTCCATCTCAAGAAAATCAAGACCCTGCTATGTATAGATTATAGAATTTTATAATATACCTACTATAAAGACAAATTATTTTCTGGATAATGTAATACAATGATAATGATGTTTTGATTTTGCTTCCTTATTAAGAAGAAAAATTCTTTTCTAGTATTAATGTGTCACTTTGGCTTTAGGCTCATCCCAAAATAAGCATGATCATAACTTTCATTGTTTCAGTATTAAGATTTCTCACATAAAATGGCTTAGATTTCCTTAAGTACAGATTAGAATTAGGATCCACATGGAACAAAGGATTGCCATTCTTGGAGAGCAGAATGGTTAGATGTGGAACTTGATTTAATCTAGATTTGAATTATCTCTTTTTTTTAAAAAAACCCAATTTCTTTTATTGACTAAGATTCGAATATACTTTTTCCAAATTATATACAATATTTACTAATTACATTTTTAAAAAAATACATCAACTTCATAATGAGAAAAAAAGCATGGCTATGAAAAACTTAGTAGGAAGTGATGTTTTCTCTCCCTTTTTCTGTTGTGATTAATTATTTTCAAAAATACTTTTACTTCCTGAAAGAAGAACTATGAGTTTGGCATGTAGATGTTTAATAATAGTTTATCATTGATGTGGAAAGTAAAACAAGTATTGTACTAAAAATACAAAGTGAAATATTGTCTTGATATTTATTAGGTCATTAAGCAAAATATGATTCTTCTCTGCTTAACTCCTCTGATTGTAATTACCCAGCACTTAGAAGAATCAAGAAGATTTTCAATAGTAAGAGCCCCTAATATTGAAGGTTTCACTAAAAAAAAAAGTTTAGCTAATATTTTCAGCTAAAAATAAATGATTGCCAATGCTAGACATAGCAAATAACAATTCACTATTCCTGTTTGATCTCTTTACTATCCTGCCATTGGAGGACATCCATATTTTGTTAAAGTTTGCCTAGGGAAGGGCTATTCTAACAATATCATTCAATCCAATTGTCTTCCAATAAATAAGCACAGATAATAAAAAGAACCTAAACATCTAAATTTTACCAAAGGGAAGAGTAGAACTTGAAAATAAAGAATTGATTCTAAAAAAAAAAAATGAATTGTTTCTACTGCTAGCTAGTTAATATGTTGACCTCTTATTCATTAGTCATTTTGCAGTGAATAA